GTTTTCCGTGTGGGCTATGTCTTGGGGGTCAGTTCGTGTCGACACAAGGCCGATTGCGTGCCTGGCCCCGCAGCAGGCCACAGGTTTCCTGAGTTTGCATTGCACGAAGCAGATCAGCAGATCGAGACAAAGTGAATTTCAACTTCAACTGCTTTGCAGCTGCAGATCCGGCTCTCCAGCCAGCAACCACATGCTGCACAGGAGGTGTGGGGTTTCGCGGCTTCCTCAGTGGCCCCAGTGCATGCTGTTTTTTTGCGCCAGTGAACTCCGTCAATGTGGACCCGCGGTGAAGCCAAGGCCGAGGAGTCTATGTCGAAGGCCTCCCCGTAAGAGCCAGAAAAAGCATGTCCAGTTGTAGTAGCAGTGACTGGCCGAGTGCTGCGCCATAGACTGAGGGTTGAATCAGCGTTGAATCATGCAGTCAGCTAGACATATTAGTATATTCCTATTAGAGAATAACTGGGGACGCAAGCGCGCGATAACTGGGCGTGCTCCCAACCCTAAAAAAGCGCACCCACCGCTCGCACAGTGTATGCGCACCCTAAACCCACAACCTTGAGAGTCGAAACCCACAACCGTATCCCAGAACCCCCCTAACGCCAAACCTCAAAACCTTGAACCAACACTGAATGCCACAACCCGAAAACTCCAACCACCGACTCAAGCTGGGTGGCTTTACCCCCTGTTGAGGTGTCTTTCGGAGGTCCTAGCTTGAACCGTCGTAGTAGAGACCTCGTGTGGCGAGTACCAACCCTTAAATTTTAAATCGCGAACCCCAAGCCTGAATCAACCCCAGAAGCCGAAACCAAAACCCTAAATTTAAATCCTGAAGCCTGCAATGTGAAGCCTTGCCTGCGTTGGGCGAACTGTGAGTTTCAAAGCCTTGAAGCCTATATAAGGGGAAGAGACTGAAAAACATGCGGGTCCCCTGCAGACCCAAATGACGTAGAAAATGAAAACCCATAAAACCCAAATGACCCAGAAGAACCACTTCCGTGGGTCGGTTGGCATCGAAACAGTTGAAATTAGTGGTTGGTCACGCGCAAAATTAGTGGCAATCTGGCGATTTCGCCACCATATCGCCGATGTATGACCTGGGAACGGTTTGAGGGCAAGTTCGGGTTCAGGAGCGTGAATGTGGTTCAAGGGTGGGTTGGGGAAGTTTCATGAGCTTGAGTATCGGCTTTGAGCGGTTTGTTAAACATGAAAACCAAAACACTTGCACGGTAATGGTTGAGGAGCCTGAATGTGGATCAAGGGTGGGTTGGGGAAGTTTCATGAGCTTGCAGTATTGGCTCGGTTCCGGAATTAACGATAGCAGTTCGTTCTCAATCACACACGGTAATCATATGGCCCTGAGTGGAGTCGACATATAAGTCCTCAAAAATGAAAGGCCGGGACTGCTATTTGGCATCATTGGCATCTTCGTCATGCCCTGCAGTGTCATTACATGCAGGCTGAATGAAGTTATGACATTTATCCGATATTGGTTTGGAAGCTGCCTGCTACTGCTAGGATTAGATATAGATGGTTGTCAGCAAGATACGAAATGCCTAAGCGGTTGGAAGATTTGGTGCTGAACTCACGTACGATCTCCATGCTCGTTTTGCATGGTCGCATTGGGTTTGCACGGTGTGCGGACCAACGGACGTGGCGAGAAGACGCTGGGAAGTCCTGGCGACCTCTAAACATGACACTGTGTGTCAGCTGTGGCTGATGGCAGTCGTGACCGATCGCGGCAGAAGCCTTTGCGTACCGAGCACTGATTGATGGCCAGTCAACTTTGCCTCAGTGCTATTGCATTTGTTCCCCCCTAGACCCTGAACGGAATCCCTGGTTCGTGGTGCATCGGAGTGTGCCGTCAGCTTTTCCTGTCGCTGAAGTGTCCCACGTAGTGTCATGGAACGGTCAAATGACTTTTCGGACATGCCATGCGGGAGCCAAAAAAACAGCACAGGGAACCAGATGTCCCACCTATTCAACTATTCCAGACTGCTCCCGGGATTGCACCCTTTGCAGCTCCGCACTACGAGCACTCTGAGAAGCTGTCAGAGACAGAGATGTTTGGGTCTGTTGTTATTGACTACTTCTACCGCTTGCAAACGAGTCACTGGTATTGGGTGAGACTCTTGCTCCAGGCCGCCCGCGGGCACTGATCAAGGGATTCTGTCACATATCCGGGTGCATAGAGGCCCGAAGGTGGACTCATGTGGACTCATTATTGGGCAGGCCTCTCTAGGCATGCTTTTGGTAAGCAGTTGCCGCCTGTTCATGCCTGCAATGTCCATGTTATCGCGTTGCAAGCCGTCGGTTGCAACTGTTTGCTCGCACCTATTCTCGGAGTTTTGGCAAAACGAAGGCGGAACGAGAGCAGAAAGAGGCGGAAGAGATGAAACAGTACGAAGCAGGCTCGCATTCTGCAAGCTTTGTCATTGTGCTTGTTGTCCCTCTCAGTCCACGACGGAACAATTCGTCACCAAGGTCTGAAGGATCCCAGCAAGTATGTGATGCCCCCCCGCAAGAGAATGCGTGAACTTCTCGGTACGGGCCCAGTGCGCAAGCCATTGATGCTGTTCCGTATCATGTCATTCTCTTGACTTGTGGTGTAGGCCTCCCAGCGGAAAAGAAGGCAGTGTCGAAGGGTCAGCTGCTGGCCTGAGTTGCATTTCGCGGAGGCCGTGATTTGTTTGGGGCTTGATCGGCTCGATGCTCAGGCTGCTCGCCAAGACCTTACCTCCTGATGCACTTCTTTGGGGTCGAGCTCTGCAAGGCTCTCAGCCTCTGTGTCGAACGCAGCTGTGTTACAGAGTGTCGGGCTTGCACTGCAACAGCGCCAGACAGACGTGGAGCCATAGCAGGGATCCAATTGCGCCGAGGATGCAGAGATTCAAAGAGAAGGGAGGCTCGGTGTCCTACAACTTGAAGGTGGACCGAGAAAGGAAGGCAGCCTGGCATGCCGCGATGTTCCGATGATTTGTTGGATCTGGACCAGACAGCTTGGGTTGTGTCGGTTCACATGTGTTTGAATGGCTGTGGGTTCAAGCGGGCGGGGGTCCGGAATCGTTGTAATTCTAGTGGCCTTTAGCCCCGCTTTTGCTATTCTCGGGTTCTGTGTTCCTCGCCTTTGCTTTATGGGAAACTCCAGGGATGACGTTGAACCAGCGAACAAAACAAATTTGTCTAAGAAGCCGAACAAGCCTTTCAAATGGCGAGAGCGCCTACCAGTAAAATGCTTTCCAGGACAGACATGCGAACTGCACACGTCTTCGGCGGTGCGTCTAAAGCAATGAAAAGTCAATCAAGCCTTCCAGCAGGGACACATCTCTTAATTTACGAGCAACGTGGGGGCGAAGTTAAGAATAAGGTACGGAACCAGACATGTCGTCCAGAGCGACAGCACAACGTAACAACGGAAAATACTGCGCAAACCTTTGCAGCAGTGAGAAACCAAGCATATTTTCGAGAACGAAAACTAAACACAACAAGTGGAAGAAGTCTTCGTGCCATGAGCACGTCCGAGGGGCAATCAAGCAATGTCTTTCCAAACAGGTTTTGAAGCGAAAACATGTCAGATCAGACCGACAAGCTGCACAGTATTTTGCTTTACGCACAACGTGTGCGTGTAACGGACTATGGAAAAAACCTCGGGCATGACGTCCGCAAGGAACAACCAACACAATACACGGAACCACGGCACATGCGCTCGTGTTTTTCTTGTTTTGGATGTGACAACGACAGGCTATGAACAATCGGAACATGTCTTCCAGAACTGAACGGAAGCGGAACAAAACAAACAGAGACCCTCCCTGCACTCCGTCTTCGTTTTGTGAGCCGTCCGCGTAATCCACTCCCGACCAACACGTTCTTCTAAACAGCCAGAGCTTGCAGAATTTGGGGGCCGGCGAACTCTGCAAAAACATTGCAGCAGTTGGGGGCAATCGCCGTAGACGACACAAATCACAACGGGAAATGCTGCAAAATCATAGAACTAGAGGCTTGAAAAACCAGCTAAATGCTGCAACTTACAGCACTAGGAGCCTGGAAGAGATCGCCAACCCTATGACAAAGGAAAACGCAGCACCGCCAGCGCTCAGAAAGAAAAGGCTTTCCGGCATTGCGGTCAAGTGTGTATCACCTCAGACGACATCATCGAACCTGCTTCGCCTGGAGAGTTCGAGCATGAGCGAAACCATACGACCTGAAGGAAGCATGTTCATGAGTCCACTTGCAAGACTTTTCCCAGGGCCATGTCTTGTGCCGGAACTTGCAACGGTCAAGCCAAGGTAGCGTAGCCTCGGCCCTCACTGAATGAGGCTGCCTGTCGCCAGATGTGCGAAGTGCGAACCACCCAGTAGAAGTTGACACATTTGGCGGGCTGTCTTCTGTACAGGGCGCAAAATTAGATGACACTTGTTCGCCCTGTGGCACTTCTCGTGCACTTCTTATGGTGCCGTTTTCCCACTCAGCGGCCTGTTTCATGGCTGTTGGGATGATTCTTGTGCATGCACATGCCCCATGCTGCCCTGCTCTTCGTTTGGTCAAACTCTGACCAAGTCATTTGAACTCCCGGCAGCATGCGGGCGAGGCATCATAGTGGAAGTGTTCTGATACCCGACGGTTTTCTATCTCCAACCCTGGACGCTTTCAACACCCGTCAATCACGGATGAAGCTATGCATCACGTACTAGGTTAGGCGTTGTGGCCAGAGAACTCATGGCAGAAAATGCAGGGCGCCGATATTGAAGGTTGCTGAAGACTTCTCGTCGGTTCGACCTGGCCGTGAGTCGCGGAGCTATTTTCCAGCATTCCTGACGTTTCTTGGAACCCCAGCCAGAAGCCTCAATACTTCGCCGCAGCATGACGGATCTTTCTTCCATAGAAACACACCAAACTCGACGCTGCTTGACTTCTTGATTTGAAAGCACCTTTTCTAGCTCAAGCTATGCCTGCCGACGTGCAGCATCGGAATTGGCCACATACTCTGTTGGCATGGGTCCTGCATGGCTTCGCCGTCGTCAGTTGATGTTCTGGCAGCCTTTCCTAGCAATGCCACCTATGACGACGTGCGGCAAACACTGTCACCTCTTTTGGCAAAATGGGGTCGGCAGCCCCGCTTGGCCACTGCTGCCTTGAAGCAGGTGGAGTGTGCAGCAACCGTCATGACGATGTTGGACGTAATGCAGGGCTGTCGCATAGAGACAAACAAGTTCCACTACAGCGTGGCAATTTCTGCATGTGAGAAAGCTGTTGACTGGGAGCTTGCTGTTGAACTGCTCGCTCGCATGGAGCGGCGCTTTGTCCCGCCAGATGTGGTATGCTTCAATGCGGTTATGGGAGTTTGCGAAAAATCTGCCAAGTGGGATGGCGCTATTTCCGTATTAAGTTTAATGGCTTCCCTGAGAACTTTGCCAGACACGATCTCATACAATTCTGTGCTGGGAGCATCTGCTCGAGCGGGGCATTGGGAACTGGCTCTGGAGATTTTGCACCAACTCCATCGGAGATCTGTTGCCGATGTGATCAGCTTCAGCTCAGCTCTCGCAGCCTGTGCGAAACGCACGAAGTGGGAAGCAGCTTTACACCTTTTGGCTTCCATGCCAGCTGGGCGGGTGCTGCCAAATGCGTTCAGCTATTCCTCAGCCATCACAGCAACCGCAAACTCTGGCTCGTGGGAAAGTGCGGTGCAAATGCTCTCCGACATGGCAGAACGAGCAGTGCTCGCTGACGCTTTTGTATACAGTGCTGTGACCACTGCGTGTGGTAGAGGAGAGGAGTGGGAACTGGCGATGTTGCTTCTAGGAAGGACAGTCGAAGAATCCCCAGATCACTCTGAGGTGGTCTTTAACAGTGCCATCAGCGCTTGCGCCACGGCCGCCCAGTGGCAACCTGCATTGTGGGTACTGGCATCAATGCCCTTTCCCCAGGTTGTCAGCTACAACTCAGCCGTCGCTGCATGTGGAAGATGCAGCTTGTGGCAAGTGTCTATGTCACTGCTAACCCGGATGGCCACGGAAGGCCTGACTCCAGATGAAATCTCGTACAACAGCGCCATCGATGCATGTGGTGAAGGCGGTAGCTGGCAACTTGCCCTGGATCTGTTGGTACAGATGCACGGAATGATACGCGTCGGCGAGGTGAGCTTCACGAGCGCTTTAAGCGCAACTGCCACGGCTGCGAAGTGGCATATGTGCATGGCAGTGCTGTGCCTCATGGGCGAACTTCGCCAAAATCTGACATCCGATGCGGTTGGAGTTGCCATGAGTGCCTGTGAAGGCAGTTGCGCGTGGGAGGCGACTTTAGTTCTTCTCGAAAGCCTGATGGCATTGCGGGACACTCCGGACGCGCTGCATGTAGGGTCGGCAGCGAACGCATTGCGCAAGAGTTTGGGGAGGAAGTCTGCCATGGATTTTTTGGAAATCATGAAAGAGGTATGGTTGCGCCGGGATGCAGAGAAAAGCTTGGCATTGACGATAAAAGTTCCCACGCTCGCTGTCTCTCATTCGACAATTCTGGGGTTCGGATGCGGGGTCGTGGCAGCCGAGAAGTCTGATGACGTTACAACTGAAGTCTTCGTTGAGCGCACTGCTGCATTGCTATGGCCAGGAGCTCGCAGCACCGAAGTGCTCAGCATTGTCTCTAGGCTTGATCGCCCCACTTCTGGGGTTTTACCTTTGGCTTTGGGACCTGCAGGTTCTTTGGCTGCGAACTGGTTGCAATCGCAGTTTGCTAGTCGCCTTGTCAAGAAGAACTACGTGTGCTTATGCGAAGGCCCCAAGCTAGGCATGGTTGCTGAGACAGGTCAAGTAACGTCCCCCCTGCGAACCAACAAGATCTACGAGACCAAGAGGACCGAGATTTCTGAAACGGGCCGAGAAGCGCTGACGAGGTACCGGATTCTTGCACGGTACAGAGTGCCGAGAGTGCCGAATCCTGAAGACCACGAGCTGATACTTTTGTCCGTGAAACCAGTGACAGGCCGAACCCACCAAATCCGAGTGCACCTGGCACATCTGAATCGTCCTATAGTCGGTGATGTCAAGTACGGCAGACATCCGTCGATGGTTCCTGGCCAACGACTCTTTCTTCACTGTCGTCGCATTGAGCTACGAGACCTTTCGGGTAAGCCGTTCTGTGTGAAGGCGAGATTGCCCGAAGAACTACGAGATCTTCTTACATCGCTTAATCCCCTGCGAATCGACGAAGCCCTGGGAGGCGGAACAAGTTTGCACAGTTCTCGGAGCTCGGAGTCCCATCAGTAGAATGAAGATCTCTTCTGCCCAAAGCCACAGTAACAGCGCCTTCTTTCAAGCTGTCCGACATCGAAGTGCAAGCAAACGCCCCATGCAGGACAGCAACTCCGCGATGCCCTTCGAAGCAGTTTGGTATACAGACGTTCGTCCACGGTGGTAGTTATTTCAGTTACTTCCAAGTGGCTCCACAGGCTGCATCCAAGTTCGGACACGACTCGCCAACGACAAACGGCACCCCCAGACTTTGGCAAGAACTCTGTTCGAAAATTGCAAATCGCAAATACGAGTAGTGCACAATTGAAGAAATTCTCCAAAAACTAAGGGGTCCCAATTCGGTCCTTTGGTGTTGCGTTGACAATGGAAGGTGCCTGTTATCCTGAATTTCCCATGCTTGTCTCTTTCGACGAGAGCGAGGGCGTGTACATGATGGTTACTGGGGTTAACGTCGGGCGCTGCTAGAGCCTTAGGGCCTAAGTTCTTCGCATGTGTGCGTCGTGTGCGTCGTGTGCGTGTTTTGTTGATCGTTTGGGATCTTAGGCCCTAAGCCTGAAAGCTGAACCATTTCGCAAACAGCCGCAGTCGTACTGCGTACAAGCTCATATACTCCCTCCGACTCTGTGTGTGGACAGCCCTGCCCAGCGACAGCATGTATCTTGAGGTTTATATGTGTTTGTGTTTGTCTGTGCTTGTCTTGAACTGCTTGCTTGTAGTTGGGCATTGATTTTGTATGTGCTTGTTGTTGTCCCGACAGTAACAAGATGCTGGAGATCCAGCTCCTGCGCCATAGTGATTCAAGGCGAAGGCCATTCTCGATGAAGGATACAGGTGCAAACCGATAAGCCGAGAAGCATCGATACCAATGCAAAGACTCATCAAAAACGCAACATCATGCGGCATGCGCATGATGAGGGCCGGTGTCAGCGGATGCACGACAATACGAGCAGCGAACAAAGGAAAAAAAAGTCGAAGAATCAGGGTTTGGCCTTTGGGTGGCCGTGCACAGCAGCTCTGAGTCACCAGTGTGCTGCAACTGGCTCAAACATGCCCAACCACGCAACCACGCATGCACAGGTACCTTGAAGGCTGACAGGTTTCACAGCAGATGTTCACTTGACCAGCTTGGGAACGCCATCGTCCGTTGAAGAGCAAGCACACAGCAACGCAGCAACGACTCAAGTACTTTCGGACAACTGGTCATAGAATGCGAATGTTGAAACGAGCCGCTGATTCGAAGCTGCATCGTGCGAAGCTGAGGGGCAACTTGCGCTTCCGGCCTCTTCCGAGTCCGTATACAGTTCTTTAGTGAAAGGTTGGCCTGCAGACATGGTCGCAGTTGCCCCAGCCGCCCAGATTCGCTGTGGGCCGTGGGTATGAATATGCGTAGGCGTAGTAGTATGCGAGTCACCAGGGCGATGCATCTTTGGGCTTTCGCTGGGTTCGTCTTCTTCGGCGCTGCTGGGCCGCTCGCTGCCCAGCGCAACCTGAGCGCAGCTCTCCCACCTCTTACGAGCATTCTGGTATGACAAACGCGCAGGCCACTGATTTTCGATTTCCGCACTGCCACAGAGTTGCACGACTTCGATTGCGTGGAGGCACCTTGCCACCGCCACTATAGACGCCGGAGCACGTCGAAAGATAGCTTAATAGCTAAGACTACAAGAAGCATAGTCTAGTTTCCTGGCAGGTCCAATCGCTTTGTGGTACAGTACGACGCATGTGTTTGTCTGTGTGTGTGTTGGTGGAAGCCCGAAGCCAAGGGCTCGCGGCTGCTACCTGTGGAGCTCCATCTAGCAAAGCTCTCCACACTTAGCCAAGGACCTCATCCGATAGGTCAGTGTTTGCAGATGTTGTGCGGTACATGTTACTGGACAGGTTACCCGAATTCTTTGCACCTGTGTACCATGCAAAGATGATGAGACACTTACCACTCTCCGTATGCCGGCCGTGTGGTGGGGGGGAAGAGCCCGCTTTGGGCATTGTCGATTTGCGGCTTCAGCAGGCCATATTGCCATGCAAAGACGAGAGGGCAAGCCCCAGCAGTGCCTGCACATCGTCGTGGGTCACGCTTTCTTTCTTTCTTTCGCGCTCTCTCTCTCTCTCTCTCTCTATCTCTCTCCCCTTCGTGTTATGTTCGTGCACTCTTCTTTCCTCGCCAGTCACGGACGACCACAACGACGCTGACGACACATCTTTGGACCACCAAGGAATGTGTGAAAATGCTTTCGCCGCTCGGTTAATCTCTCCTCTCTCTCTCTTCTCTCTCTTCTCTCTCTTCTCTCTCTTCTCTCTCTTCTCTCTCTTCTCTCTCTCTCTCTCTCTTTCTCTCTCTCTCTCTCTCTCTCTCTCTCTCTCTGTCTCTCTCTCTCTCTCTCTCTGTCTCTCTCTCTCTCTCTCTCTCTCTCTCTCTCTTTGTCCCGCTCTCTCCACCACTGCACAAGTCCGGTTCGCGCGGCCATAGGCCAAAACAAGAACGGCGCAAACCCTTTAGCCGGGCGAACTTGCATGACTAAGCTCGGCTCGGTCCGTCATTGCGCCAAAAACTTGCATTGCCAGAAAGAGCTAGAGCCACGAACTTCCTGAATGAGATCGTCTCGTTGAAGTTTCGAATCTAGTTTAGAAGTGATCAACTGGAGAGTGGTCTGAGTGATTTCTGCATGTTGATGAACCGTCATGAGAATACGATGGCAGGCCATTGGAATATTGCAGCGCTGATAGCAAAGGAAGGCAAGGAGGAATTGATACTATGGAAAAGGAATGTAATCAGGAAAATAAAAATGCAAAGGCACAGCAACGTATAAAAAAGCGGCAAAGGGAAGAGTAAAGGATACAAAGTTGTTCGTGGTGATGAGCCACTGGGGCTCATGATGATTACTGACAGGAGGTTCAACAAGCAGAGTGAATCAGCCGGTGACTGGTCCTGGAAGTCTCAAGACTATAAGACTGGCGGAGTGCGGCTCCTGCGCCCGTCTAGCTGGCGCAGGAATTCCCGAACATTCAAGACCGTCCGAGGTGCGAAGCCTGTCACGAACCTGTTCGCTGGCGCAGGCTTGCTAAACCGAGCGTTGAGAGCCGGAGCGACCCCGGCTCCAGCCAAGATTGGATCCTGTGAAGTGTGGCAGCATTCTGATGGATTTTCACGTGCAAATTGCATTGGTTGAGAAGTCGTGGATACTGTTCGACAGCGGAGCTTGTGCAAATTGTTGTCCGGAATGGTATGCGCTGGGTTATCCTGTGCTGCCCTTGAATGAGACTACGCCCTCACCCTCACTGCGAAGCTTGTCTTGAAAGACATTGATTGGACGTGAATAGGAAGATTGTGCAGCTTGACTGTGGCAATGGTCATTGCTTGAGTGTGCAGTTCTACGTGTGCACTGGGATCCGTTTCCACCGGTCAGTGTTGTTCGATTGTTGTTGCAGATTTTTGGGTCGTATAGTAACGGCGCAAGACTATTGTGATTCCGTATGCCGTTGTAGATGCGGCGAGATTGGCAGCGAGTTGTTTTCTTTGATGTGCTGTCGGGAATGAAGCAAGAGCTTGGCACATCGGAGTTGTGGGGAATCTTCAGCAGTTTGGTGACGTGATTGTTGCGGCGCAGGGTAAGAAAGATGCTCATGGTTACTCGTATTACGTGTGGGAAGTGAATGAGCCACAGAGGAATTGATCCCGCACGTCAAGGCCTGGAGAACGAAAACGCTCGTTCCTCGAATCAGATTGTTTAAAGATGTTGCTGGTGCAAACGTCTCGATTGACTGGCGAAAGAGTGACATACAAGTAATACGTGGATGGATGTCACTGTCTCTGTCAAGTATGAGACGTTCTTGATTTTGGCAAACACGAGTGACCCGAAAGAATGGATTTTTAAAGTGCAGTTTACATTGCGCCACAAGCCGCAATGAGACATGTGAAACAAGCCAGCCAACACCTTTTAACGCACATAGGCAAGCTTGAGCCTGAAACAGCGTTGCGAGCGTCAAACTACCTCGCAGTGGGGGAGCAAAATAAAGAAGAGCCAACTGGTTGAGCTTCTTGGTTTCAGTTTCGAGATCATTATGCTCGAAGCCATAAGAGTTTGTTTATGCGCCTGCCGAACTATCGGGGTCCTCGCCGATATAGATCTTTTCGAATACATCAATGGCTCCCGGAACTCCATTGACTGCGCACCGTCAACACCTCCTACTGGTACGACTACAAGACAGATCCAAACGTTTCGATGGTGTCAGTGTGTGTGGTTGTGTGTGTGTGTCCGTCGTACGTGTTTCTGCACACACGTACGACTGCCTTTGTTGCGACGACCCCCGGCGCGATGTGCACAGCATCCCAGACGTTGGCCACGATCGACTTGCCTGTAGTGTCCTCGCATGTCGGCTACAGTGCTACAGTAACAATTTGGAAAGTTGAGTTATGTTGATTTTCGATCTTGCGTGAGCTAAGCAAATCAGTAATCATTTTGACGCTGCTTGCATCACTGAAGGTGAAGAGCTCTCATGTTGATTGGTCGGCTATAAAGCTTGAGGCTTAGCTGTGTGCGAGTGCGTGCGTGCGACGTTCACCCCGTGGTACGCAGTATCCAGGCGTCGAGTGCAACAATTCGACGCCGACTGGCAGGCCTTTATTTAGCCTGACTTTGGCGCATTTCACCTGGCCAACGCGCAGTAGTCAGCTCGGCACAGGCTCCGCAGTTGCGGAGCACTCAGCATCAGCCAAAGTCCAAGCAAGCAGAGGGGTCTGAAATCTCATCGAGTCAGTCCAGCACCTGGTGACTGGCTGCAGTGACAAGCATGACGGCTCGGAGCGTAAAGCCATATAACTTCCACAGACCTTTGCGGGTGCCTTCGTCCCATGTTGGGGCAAATGCAGACATGCAAACATTTCACACACCGACGTTCACTCAGTTTTTCTAAGTGTACTTGGGCCATCTTGGGCTTGTGGGCCTTGCTTTTCCGGAGCGGAAGCCATGCCCGAGAGCTTCTTGTGCGGAAGCTTCCGGCATGGATACCAAGAAGGCGTCAGTTTCCTCACTGCTAGTATCGATGATTCTTTGCAAGTCTCCAGGGCGAAGTGGCGAAAGACAATGCAAACAAGTGCCTGTGGCATGGAATTCAGATAACCTCGGGCCCAAGAGAGCAGCAGGCATTTAGCATGGGTCGGTCGAAATCTAAGGCGACCACAGAAGTCGCCCAAGCTCCGTCCTCAGTGAACGAAAGAACGCACACAGGCAAGTGGTGGCCTGTTCTGAGGTCTTAAGCACAATTGCGTGGTCAACTTGAGCTTGCTTTTTGGCCCCGTGCGGAAGGTGTATGAAAGTGTCAGTAAATGGTTGAAAGGTTGCCTTGCATATGTAGTCGTCTTGCCGGGACGGCAACCGGCAGAGTACCAAGTCATCCCTGCCTAGACATCCCCACAGCCCAAATCCAAAGCAAACAGGCCCCAGCAGGCGAACATGGTAGGCATTGTGATGAGCAGCCACCCGGTGCCACAGACTTGCTCACTCTCCCACGAACTTCGGCTGGTCAAACAGCGTCTGAGCATCTTGCACACAGTACCTGGCACTTTCTCCACCTGAGTCCCGGGACCGCACATCCATATCATCCATGCGTTCTTGCGAAGTGCAGGCGCTTGAGCGAGACGGCCGGGCTCAAACAAATGTGTCGCTGCCAGAAGAGAGCAACGAGTGGCAGAAATGCTGTTCCCATGATTCAAGCAGCCAACATCTGGAATCAGGCTCGGTTTCCGGTATTGTTCTGGCTATCATGGCAGAGAAATTTGTAGGGGTTCCAATTCTCCGATACAACTTTCTCATAGTCCTCGGAGGGCTTCCCGGTTTGCTGATTGGCAGCTACTGTCACGGAAAGCACTTTTTGGCGGTGTGCGCCGCAGACAAGACGGCCAGCAGACCCGTCTCCAGAAGATGGGCGACATGCATTGCCGACACCGTGCATGAACAAGTTCGATGGACGCCGAAGCAAGACCTGGTTGCCACCAGACAGCGGAGCGAAAGCATGGCAGAGCAACGACTTCTTCTCACACATACCCGATGTAAGTACCCAAGACAGCACGGGGCAGCCTCCTTTGCCTTGCAAGTGCAAGGGTCTTCGCACCCACAGGCAATCAATCAATCAATCAATCAATCAATCAAGTACCCAATGCCCGAATTTTGCGAGCAGACAGATGGCAATCTGAGTTGTGCAGAAGAGATGTCTTCATTCTGCTTCTGGGCACACGAACCTGTCAAAAAATTGGGTCATCTCTTGCATCCGAGGCGTAGCAAAAAAGACCGCAAAGCCGAGAAGACCGCCAATGACAAGAAAAAGGAGCACAAGCAGAAGAAGAAAGACAAGAAGGACAGGTTTTTTCCCCTCGAAGTCACCTTAGCCTGTGTCTTTTCAGCCTGGATGCGCAATGTAGTGACAGGGGCAAGAACAGTCGAGAAAGAGACCAGCTGACGTTGTCGCCGGAGTTCCAGACGAGCCGAAGCGACTGACAGGCGCCCGTCATGCCTTCGATTAAGCAAAGTCTTTTGGTGACGGTGAGACGGTGAGTGGTGGACCAGTGGACAGGCAGCGGCTCCAAAGATTCGGAAATGGCAGACGACTTCCTGGAAGAACTGCTGCAGCCCGTCCAGCGTGAAGCGCAAGCACAAGACGAAGAGCAGGACATGCAAGAAGCGGACTTTTGGAATGGTGTGGGCGAGGAGGACTTCCTTGAGGAAGACTTTGAGCCGATCGCAGAAACTGCGGGACCAGTGCAGGAGGCTCAAGGGTCGTGGCAAAGAGGTTTCACACATGTCTTCATGATTGGGGCGGGTGTGATGAAGAAGGCATTTTCTCACCTCGTCGGATGTGTTTACATCTCCGCTCTGCAATTTCTGGGTCCTCCCTTGCGCTTCTCGGGCTTGCAGATGCTGCTTGCCCCACTTTGTTGGTAGTCGCACATGCTGCGTTGATCGTAGCACATGCCTGTGTGAACTCGTATGGGGGCAGCCAGAAAGAGACAGGAAGCCAGCATCCAAACTCGAGATGTGGACGGGAATGTTACCACGCACGATACCCTTGTTGCAACGTGGCATGCGAAAGTGCACGGGAGTGTTAGCTGCACTGCAGAACCCTTTCTTTTCGTCTTGAGGGATGGATTGAGTCTGGATTGAGGTGACTGTCGAGGATGCCAAGGTTCTGAAGGAGAAGCTTGCTGTGCTGGCGAAGGTTTCCGGGGCACGCCTCGAGCTGCTCACCACCACGCTTTACATCAGAGGCGCAGTCCCGCGCAGGAATGTTGCATGTCCAAGTGACGTGGTGCAGATTCGGAATTGGCGCGTTTGTGAAGCTGTTGGTTGTTTGGCCTGAGAAGTTTCATTCTCGAGCTTGGACTGTTAACATAACCGGTTGAACATTACCTGAATCTACAAGCAGCGCAGTGTCTCGCCACCGATGTTGGACCCACTATGGGTGTGAGGCAGCATCTAGAATCTAAACATAGAAGCGTCGAGTGATTTCAACCCTTTAGGTGCTCGGGGATTTCCTATCTCGTGATCCGATGTTGTGTGAATTAGGCAGCCAGTGGTTGCAGCATGCAGACGGGAGCCAGAAGTCAGCTGCCTGTTGAAAGGTGCTCGATTAAAAGGTTGCCGTGGTGCTAAATGCCTTTCCAGCCTAGTGGTCATCTGCATTCCGATTGCGACAGGCCCCGAAGACATACGCACCAGGGCCAACGACTACGTGCATGCCGTGCTCGATAAGGGCTGGCAAGGCACATGTGTGAGCTTTCGCTAGGAGGCTGAGATTCACAGGGAGGACCGAGGAGGGGCGGGGAGGGGCTAGAAGATCTATAGACAATCACGTAGTGGGAGCCTTCAGGGACGACCGTAGGCCGTGGGCCCCGCAGACCGTCACAGTCTTCATAATCAGTCTGACAACCCACCCCGTGTTGCTCGGGTTATTGTTTCAGCCGTGAGCTTCTGCAAAAGTCTGGGGTACGCCTAAGGCACATCCCCAGGTCTTGAAAGCCTAGGATGTTTAGGCATGTATTGTATGTGCTACTGTTACATCTTCCAGTACAGTGTTAACCGCACACCCGCTTGCAAGACTCACCCGCTCCCCTCCCATGAAGAGTATAAGCCATGGCCTCGGGGAAAGCACTACAGAAGTGACAAGCCTCGCTGGCAAGCCCGAGCCCTGTAGCACAATAGAGATCCAGGCGCTGGCGAAGACGTCACGGTCGTGTCTGTGCTGCCAGAGTGGGCCGAGACGTGGGATGGGAGGCAGTCCATGGAGCAGGAGTTCCTCGTCATACGAAACATTTGTTGCTATGTTGGACTGTGCTCAACCGTTCGCCTCGGAGAGTCGAAAGCCAAGAGACCGATTGCGGCTTCGGCACTGAGTGCTGCAAAGACTGCACCACCGCCCTTTACCGTTGATTCGGTTGCTCTCCCCGGATTGCTTTGTCGCTCGATTGTGCTCCCAGGGGCCCTTGTTGTTCTTCTCTTGACGGTTTGCTGCAGAGGAAGGTGTGTTTGCCGAGTAGCTGTGACGAGCACCTATGCAGTCAGCTCAGAGTTTGCCCTGGGGTGGCAGTGCCACGCAGGTGTTACCAACCTTGGCATAATGGCGCGGCAAAGCCACTGCGTTAGTGTGCGTTTTCTTCGCAGCTGCGCGTTCCTCCTGCGGGGTTCCGTCAACTTCTTCATATTTCTTCATGCTGGAAGCGGTGCTTTGTCGGAGCAGTTGCATCCCACCTAGTAGCGCTCGACGCATCCCATCCCACCTAACAGCACTCGACTTCGCAGGGCCCCTTTGTCACCGTGATGGTATCCCATGATCAACTTTCTGATGGCCGCGCTATCTCACCGCAAATCCCACAGTTCGCAGTCAACGTGTTTAAGATAGAGCGGTGTCACCGCGGTGATAGGCGTTCCCAAGGCTCGCCGTCTTAACTAATATTCTTTGTTGCGGTTGTTTGTGTTTCACCGTGGCTTCTATATTCGTATTCGGCTGTTGCCGTTTGAGTATGTAGGTTCTGTTGCGTTGTTCTTGCTGTGTAGCTGGCCTTCCGCTTTCGAGCAAAGATTTACAAATTGTGATCCGTTTGCAAGGCTGGTCAATCCCTCACGTTGACCTCACTCTGGAACTTTGCTGCTTGTGGCTTTGCTTGTTACTTTCCCGTTGCTGAGTCGCATTGTTTCCCGAATTGCACGTGTTGGGATCCCGGGCCCCAGGAAGAACGTCAGAGGCACAAGCCTTGTGAGGGGCAAAGTGCGAGCTTCGCTTGAACCCGTATCTTCGAGTTCCCTGCGCTGCGACATTGTTCGGCTGGGCAGGTGGCAAAAAATACACCATCGGCATCCACAAGAGTTTCCCAAACTCAGAACAGGAATTGGCACGAATCCAACCCGGCAGATGCTCTGATCGATTGAGCGTCCACACTTGGGCCTTAAGATTCCGGAGCATGACCCGCCATGGGTGCAAGCTGTCACGCAGCGCCCCAGACTTGTCGCTTCCGGATGTTTGCTGAATGATGCCGCATTTTCATCCTGATGCCTTCGGGCTCCTCTTTACTTCGAGCCGCTAAGCGTTGCTTAGGGCTTTGAGCTGTTGTGAGCCGAATCCCAGGCTCAACGTGCTGATCAAGATGGAGGAGCTGACAGGACCAGGGACCAAGCCTATAGCCTAAATGGCTTGGCCTGGCTAGGCTTCAGAATGCAAATTA